CAGACAGACAGAGAGAGACATAGAGACAGAAAGCGAGAAATCACCCCCCAGAGAGGATGGCTATGCCGCAATCCCTTCTCCTCCATTCTCCTCTCGGGATCTTGGGCACACACGCACATGCACCCCGGGTGAGTTTTAAGCCACCAGCTCCAGGACTCGAACCGTGGTCAACTACATGGGAGTCCAGTGACATAACCATTACGCTAACTGCTGGTCCCTGCATTTTTTGAGAAAATCATATGATGTGTTTTAAAATTTGGCCTGGTGCTATGTTGTTTTAATAGATTTCTACTATTAAATCTCTTTTGCCTTTCTGAGCTAAATCCAGTTTTAATTATGGTGGCTTATTTCTTTAGTATACTATTAAATCCTTTAATTAGCACTTTATAATTTTAAACTAATATTAATGCATGGGAATGATATTTTTCTGTTTCTTTATCAGGTTTTAGTGGCAATACTTTGCTACTTTTGAATAACTAATTGGTCACTGTATTTCTATGTAAAAAGAGCTTATCTAGCAAGAAAGTGATCTTTCCTTACAAGTTTGAAAGAATTCACCTATAAAATTATCTAGGCCCAGAGCTCTTGAGGGAAATAATTCTTTGATCAGTTTTTCGAGTTTTACTTCCATGGCTAATTTTTCTATTCCTTAAGTCCGATTTTTACCACTTTCTCCACTTCAGACACACTAATCTGAGTAAATCATCCTTGGCCTGGCCTGTATTATCAACTTAGATTCTGTCCAAAAAAAAAAAAAAAAAGTCCTACCACAAATATAAAATAATTAGATACGTCAATATGAACGGTCCCTTATCGAATGTGAGTTCTGTTGATGTGTGAGGCAACTGATATCTTCGTAGACCAGTTCGTGAGCTTATAGGAATGGGTAGAAGAATTTATCGTCTAGTCAATACTGATCGATCTGTATTTAACTGACCAGGACCATAATCTTTGATATAAAGCACCCCTGGCATGGATGTTGACTCTGGCCTGCTATATTTTACAACTGGATGCTAAACCTTCTAAAATACAGTGCGATTCTGAACAGATACAGAAAAGGTGTACTGATTTTTGTTTGTTCGTTTTTCTAGAGGTTTTTGCCTTAGGGCAGAGAGAGAGAGAGAGAGAGAGGGAGGGAGAGACACAGTCTGAGGGAAAGGGAGAAATCATTCCCCAGGAGGAATGGCTTCGCTGCAATCCCTTCTCCTCCATTCTCCTCCCAGGATCTTGGGTGCATGCGTACCCGGTGTGATTTTTCAAGTCACCAGGTCTGGGACTTGAACCGCAGCCAGCCTTGTGGGGGTTCAGCGACGTAACTACTATGCTGCCCCCAAGGTGTACTGATCTTAATAGCGAGAAGGAGTTTGAGAAAGGTTACAGAACTCCGTCTACATCTGAAAGTTGTAGGGGCCTGTCTCGTTTTCTGTTTGATCCACTCTTGGGGCTACGAGGTGCAAACAGCAGTTTCCAGAAATCTTTCCTTTCTGACTATCTACTTTTCTTTGAAAGTTTGCTTTATTTTATGATATAGAGCATGTTTACATGCTTGAGTGAGAGAGAAAGAGAGAGAGAGAGTGTGAGAGGGGGGGCATCCTCAGCTGGGTCTCATGGCACTGTAATCCCCTTTCCAGTCCTCAACCCCTCAGAATCTTGGCCTGTGTGCAGGCTCCAAGCCAACCTGGGTATCCAAACCCTGGACCAGCCATGTGGCTTCCAGTCCTGAAGATCAGTTTGCCACTCCCTATGCCACCCGGGGGGGGCATCTTCCTGTCTACTTCTTAATGAGTTCATGTGTATTTCAACGGAAAATTCAGACGAGTATTAAAGAAAGCTAGCGTGGCTTAATCTTAACCAGGAATGAACAGTATTTAATGTTTCAGAAAGAGATTTTGTGTGCATGTTTTCATTTGCTTATCATCCCTCCTTTTCGTTTCACATGGTTAAATCCCTTCCCTCCCCCCCCCTTTTTTTTTTTTGTAGTTTCCTTAAATGTAAAGAAGTTCAAGCAGTGATGTCTTACAAAGTTGTTTCCCTTGTGGTCTCCATGTTACAATAATGAACAGTTCGGGCATGAATGTGCTTTTCGGTTTTGACTAACAAATTCGAGTGTTTATGTAAATGGCTGTGAGGCGTGTCAGCAGTCACAGCTCGAAAATAGGAAACACCCAGGCGTAAAATGCTGGCCCGTGAGCTCTCTCTTTCTAGAGCAGAACACGTCCCATTCTGAGAACAAAACTGTCGTTTTATGATTGAGAATGAGTCGAAAGAGGTTTGTTTTTTTTTCCCATTTCCAAACAATGTCAGAGAAACAAACAGGCAAGCAAAACGCCTGGACTGTTTTTACACGCTTTCATTATTCGAGATAACCAAAGAGGAAAACATATTATTTTCCCAAGCTATCACTTCGTCGCTATGCCTCAAGTAATAGAAGTGGTTTTTTTGTCAAGCTCCGTCGAAAGGTGCAAAAGTAAAGAAGAAGGAACATCACGTTTTGTGTCTGTGAGATGGTGCAGAGTGTGGGGTCGGGAGGTTAGGCCTATGCAGGGCCTGATGATAAGGCGTTTGGCACCGGGTGCTGCTTTGTCTTTTAGGGAATGTACAGTTATTCTAGAATCCCCGAGCCCTTCATAAGAGACGAGGATATGAATCACTCGGTGCTTAGATAATCTGTTTTCTGGTCTTCCTCTGAAAAATCCACTTCGTGGGGGCGGCCTCTATCATATCCGCATGGCTGTGGCAGCCGGCTGCACTTTGACCTCAGGCTAACACCCATGTGCCATCTGGGTGGAGGCACCATTTCAATGCCTGTCACCTTTGCAATGTGTAACTTTTATCAGGCATCTGTCTTTCGAGGTGGTTAATCCTTTTCGGATCTAGTTTTTTCTTACGTCTGCACAATAAAGTAGGCATCATTCTTCAGTTGACAGAAAAGATGAGTAAGATAAGGGGCCGTGACTCAAACTAGGAGAGCGGGTGAAGGAAACGAATATTCGTCTCTGTTAGAAAGTCAACTTACCAACTTTCTCCAGGCCTGTTGGAATGGTCTGAGGGTCTGTCAACCTCCTTCTAGGGGATATACAGTGTTACAGTTTAGGCAAAGCAGACATTCAGAATGAAAGCAGGAGAGAAGCTGTGTGTGTGTGTGTGTGTGTGTGCGTGCGCGTGCACATTTGGGGGCTGTGTGTGTGTGTGTGTGCGCGCGTGCACATTTGGGGAGCTTAAGGTGTCTCCGGGTTTTGAATGTGTGTGTGTGTCTTGAACATCTTGTTTCTTTCTTCTCTTCAGATTCGAGAGAAGCCAACTTGAAACCACAGCTAGACACCGAGAAGACCGTGTTCTCCAACAACAGTCACCCCTTCACGGTAGGCAGACTCCGAATTTCTCCTGTCCACTTTGTCGTGAACGGTATCCTCTTTAAGGAAATGCAGATTCTTCATAATACTTTGTTGTCACATTTCTTCGAAAGCTTCTGTTTGGGGGGTCACAATACTTTTTGCTATATAATTTAGCCGTCGGTTGGAATGCGTGGTAACATATTTGTCTAAGACAAGACAAAAGATAGGAAAATGGCCTAGAAGTTTGAGAACTACCTCAAATCCTTACCAGTGAGTCTCTTCACAAATCGTTCACAGTCCTCTGGTTTTTCTACCCAAGTCATAATGACAAGTACATTAGTGTAGGCTCTTATACTTCAAGTGAGATAAAAAATGAAGATAGCTTGCCGGTGGTTGGCGATTATCAGCATTATCTCTGGTCACAAAGGCACAATTAGCTTCATATTCGGCAGATAAGCACCACTCTGGGAGGGCACCCCGCGGAGTGCTGGCTAGCACCCTGCCTCAGAACTGCTTCCTTTCTGGGACTGTGTAGATTGGGGTGTGATTTCAGGGGCTCCAGGCAAAGTTCTGGCAAGTGCACCATAGAGAATGTGTATTTCTGGGGCCTGATCTTAGAGTCCTGTGGATCTTGGACTCCAGATGTGTTTGGGAAGGGAAAGGACACATGAGTCCCTTCAAAGTCTTCCGTATTAGTTTCAGGACTATTGTTTTCAGTAAATCATCAAAAATCATAAGGTGAGGGGACCAGCAGCTAGCATAATGGCTATGTCGCTAAACTCCCATGTAGTTGACCACGGTTCAAGTCCCGGACCCGGTGGCTTAAACTCACGCTGGGCGCGTGTGTGTGCATGCTCAAGATCCCGAGAGGAGAATGGAGGAGAAGGGATTGCGGCGTGGCCATCGCCCCTGCTTTCTGTCTCTCTGGCAAGCACACGTGCCCTATAACAAAAACCTCAAAAAATTTAAAAAATAAGGTGGATTATTTTCCTAAAATCAGAAGATAAATGCAGTCCATGGCATTAACAAACGAATTGTCAGAATTGATACAGAAATTAATAGGGAGGTATGTATACAGAGGCTGTATATATGCATATATTTCTTTTTGTTTGGAGAGGTTTTTGCTATAGAGCGCATGGTCAATTTCACATTACATATGTTATCCACCATCGTTTCAAAGTATGGAAGAAATCACAAAAGTCTTCAGCAGTTCCTTTCTACTTCTTCGCCAGGGATCCCAGCTAGAAGGAGAATCTCTGCCTGGAGACATCAGTCCTTAGGAACACCCACCCCCTCTTTTTATTATTATTTTTTAAATTTTATACATTTAATCACGCTTCATCACGTGGCTTGTAAATTGAATTTGCCCAACGCGAAGACACTTCACATTGGTCTTTTTTTTTGAGAGAGAGAGAGATTTTTGCTATAGGGCGCGTGCGCTCCCCAGACAGAGACAGAGAGAGACAGAAAGCAGGAAATCACCCCCCAGGGGGGATGGCCACGCCGCAATCCCTTCTCCTCTGTTCTCCTCTTGGGATCTTGGGCACGCACGTACACGTGCCCGGCGTGAGTTTAAGCCACCGTGTCCGGGACTCGAACCGCGGTCAACTACGTGGGAGTCCAGCAACATAGTCATTACGCTAACTGCTGGTCCCTCACACCAGTCTTTTTTAACGTGGAGGTGATTCCATGGGCATCGTTGACCACCTGGCAGTTTAAACGGCCCCTATACCATAAATTGTGAAGTTCAAAAAAAAAAAAAACTGGCACACAGGAAACGGTAGAGTTGCAATGGCGAGGAGAGTTGCTTGTGGGGTTAATCTGTAACTAGGACAAATGAATCTATAAAAAGAGGAGAAACCCCATAAGAACTATGGTAACGGATGGGAAGGGAGAAAAAAGCCTTAGATGAAAGATAGCTGAACTCGTTCGGTCCCGATGGTTTTACGGCCAAGGAATTCCATTATAGGTGCACTGGGTGGGTCGGACCGTGGTCCGTAATGGCTCACAGGACACCACGATCTTTATCGTCTTCTGTATGTGTTCACATGTAAGGTTCAGTCGTGCTGTCTGTAAATAAACCCTCCGTCTGGCAGGTACTGCCGTGCACGCGCTCAGGGCTTCGAGATGGAGACACCAACAACGCTTGCTCTGAAACTCCAGGGACGGGAGAGTGGGGACATTTAGCAATCACGTTAGGGACAGATTTATTTTTCTTTAAATGTGGTCTACGGGGTTTGGTTTGTTTTGTATGCATTTCTCTTTCGAAATGATTTAATTTTATGTATTATGATTCTTTTTTAAAATTCGATCAGAGAGAGACACAGAGAGAGAGGGGAAAGTGAGAAAGCAAGCCGCCAGGTCTAGAACTAAAACCGTGGTTGGCCATGTGGGAGTTCAGCACCTTAACCACCAAGCCACCTACCGGCTCCTGCATTAATTTCTTAAAAAGATATTTTTGTTACTGAAAAACTGTCCAAATATTTATAGATGTGTGTGTGTGTGTATATATATATATATATATATATATACACGCATGTATACATATATATGCGTGTGTATATATAAATATGCACACACACATCTATGTATTATGTACATGTACTCTCTCTGGTGAGCACACGTGCTCTCTGGTAATTTGCATTATATACACATATGTTAAAAATTGCCAGAGGACACGTGTGCTCACCAGAGAGAGAGAAAAAACGCCCCCAATGGACCATGGTCGCACCGTAATCCTTTTTCCTCCATTCCTCCTTCCCTTCCGGGTTCGAGGTATGCGTGCACAGACATGCTCCCCGCATGTTTTTCAAGCCTCTGAGGCTGAGATTCAGACCAGGGTCAGCTCTGTGGCATCCAGCTCCATTAACCACTGCACTCCAGAGCCGGCCCGACCGTGAAGCTGTTTTTCAAACGAAAAGATCACCCTTAATAACACAACTCCTGTCCTTCTGTCTGTCTTTTCTGTCCTTTCTTGTTCACGGGGACACCTTTCCTCCTTCCTGACACTTCCAGGATCTGCGGGATTTCGCACCCAGCTTCTTCAGCTGTTAGACAGAGGCATGGCCCCTTGTCTCTGCCTGGCTTCTAGGTTTGTCATACAGCGACATAATAGCTGGCCCTAGTGCTGTCATAATCTACCAAGCCGGTTTTGAGGTGGTTCCTGGTTTCGGATCATTATGCAATCACTGCCCAGCCACAGCAGTGCTCCCTGGGAGGTACTGCTCGGCAGGGAGGCCACACAGGAGCTCAGGGTGTGACCCCTGGCCATCCTGCAAGCTGGGCGTGATGGTGCACGCCTGTAGTCCAACCGCTCCGGAGGCTCCTGAGGAGCGCGGTAGAGTGACAACCTGCTTTTTTTCTTTTTTCTTTTTTTTTCACTGCCAGAGGGCATGTGTACTTGCTGGAAAGAGACACAGAGAAAGAGAGGGAAAGTGAGAAAGCCCCCCCTCCACATCGGGGAGTCAGGCCACACCCCCACACCCCTTCTCCTCCATTTCTCCCTCCTTTCAGGATTTTGGGCATGCACGCACTTGCACCCAGAGTGTTTTTAAAGAGACTGGGTTCAGGACTTGAATCACACAATTGGCCAGTGGACTCCTTAATCACCACACCCCCAACTGGTCTAGACCTTGCCTTTAAAAAAATGCTTGCACCTATGCACGCGCAGGTGCACACACACACACACACACACAATTACCATTTATTCTTCATGCATATATTTCACTTAATTAAAATTATTTTTTTCTTCAGATAAACTGCCAGGAGAGGAATGTGGAGGTTAAAGTGTTTGAGCAATTACGTTAGTGTTGCCTGATTCATTTTTTTTTCTTTTTTTAAAAATAAACTATTTATTTAATTCCATTTGTTATTATTATTATTATTACTATTATTTTCATTTGAACAGAGAGAAGGGAAAGGGAGAAAGCAAGCCACCAGGTCCGGGTCTCAAACCATGGTTGGCCATTTGGGAAGCCAGCACCTTTAACCACCATGCCACCTGCCGGCCCTGCATTATTCATTTTGGTCATTTATTGCAAGTGACCAAAACATACAAAAACATCGATTTACTTACAGCTTTTCTTGGGTGATGGTGGAGGGAGGGTGACAGTAAAGAACCCCATCAACTCTGTGGGGATCAGAATGGCTTAGGTGTGACCAGCAGTTGGCTATGTCGCTGGACTCCCATGTAGTCGACCACAGTTCGAGTCCGGGACCTGGTGGCTTAAGCTCATGCTGGGCGCATGTGCATGTGTGCCCAAGATCCTGAGAGGAGAATGGAGAAGGGATTGCGGCTTGGCCATCACCCCTGGGGGGGATTTTTTGCTTTTTGTCTCTCTGTCTCTGTCTTTCTGGCAAGCGCATGCGCCCTGCAGCCAAAAAAAAACTCTTTAAAAAAAAAAAAAAAGAATATCTTAGTTGGGAGGGGGGAAAAAAACACACCTTTTTAATGGCAGGGAAGTAGCTGGTTATTTCCTGAGGCCATGTCAAATTTAAAGGAACTGTAGTGCATGACCTAGGCCCCTTAAGGCCTTTAAGTTTGAGAGTTGCTTGGCTGCTTTTGAAATGTAAATTTGACCAAGTAGGGTTTTCATCTAGATGGATATAAATCCATTTTTTCCCCAAGAGATAAAGGGAAGTTTATTGAAAGAAAGAGTGCCCAAGGTCTGAAGCCAGAGGTGCGTCAGCCCCTACTGCACAGCTTTTAAAAAATATGTATTTAATATTAAGTATTTTAAATTTGTGGTTTGAATATTTGAGGGGAAACGTTTAGAATAAAGATGTAATAAGAGAAAAATTGAAGATAAAAAATTATACAATTACAACATATCATTAAGCCCTCTAAACTGGAAGCCAGATTCTGTGTGGCCGACCAAGGTTCCAATCTCAGTCCCGTGGCTTGAAAAACATACAAGCCAGGACCAGCAGTTAGTGTAATGGCTATGTTGCTAGACTCCCATGTAGTCGACCGTGGTTCGAGTCCCGGACCCGGTGGCTTAAATTCACATCGGCCGCATGTGAATGCA